CCCCCCCCCCCCCCCCCCCCCCCCCCCCCCCCCCCCCCCCCCGGGGGCCCCCCAAAAGGGGGGGGGCTCTGGGGGGGGGGAGGGGGGGGGGGGGCCCCCCCCCCCCCCCCCGGAACTTGCTCCAACAGATTACCATTAACAGATCACCAACAAGCTAAAGATATCTTGGATCAATGCCAAGGTTAAAAGCCTCTGTGACAAACGTAATAAATTATTTCAACAAAAAAAATCTGGATTTAATCATCGACAAAAAGATACATTGGAATATTGATTCCAGTGCTTGTTTTGACTTTATATTGGACATAGAATATGTTTGCGATAAGCTCCAACAGTTTATAGCACAAACAACAATACCTGCTCAAAAACGTATTCCATTTAACACAAAAGTTACACTTTACAGCGCTTTATTACTGCGAATCCTCAAACAGTTATCTGGAAAAAATTACTCCACTCATATAAAAATGAGGAAAGGGACATTCTTAAACTCTGTAAAATACTGCCCATAACCGAAAAAGTTAATAGATGTTTTCTAGTCCAGCACTTCTTTCGAGATAACATAAAAAAAACGAGTTGAGCATGACGTACAGATCCGAGCTGTAACGCAAGTTCTCTATACTTCGGGCTCTGTACTTCAAGAGCAAACAACGTCTATGGTGCGAGAACGTTGGAGTGTTAACTACCGCGGCTAATATAAATAATATAATATTTTAATTTATTAGGTCTTTACATATGAAATTGGCGTTTTGTATGAGAGGAACTAACAGTAGATTTTTATAAAAAGAATATATTAATCAAAGTACCATTGCTATATATGCACTTTTGCCATCTTACAGGTAGTTCAATAAATGGAAAAAATCTCTAGGAATACAAATAAGTAGAATTGCTTGGAACTTGGAAAACATCGTGAGGAAACCGACATGGCTACGACTCAAAAAGTCGACGGCGTGTGTCAGACACTGGAGGCTGATCACCTACTTGCCTATCAGATTTAACAATGATCACGAAACAAATTCAGAAATCTGAGGCCAAAACCTAAAGAGGTTGTAGCGCCACTGATTTTTTTTTTATATATGTATATTGTATGTGCCTCATTGTTGCAGAATTCAATTTAGTTATTTGGTCCGCGAAATTGAACAGCAAGTAAAGCCCCAACTCGAAATAGAATTTTTAATATCGTTATCCCGCCTTTAATATGTTACGGCTCGCGCGTTTCTAATCAAATTAAAAATTCATCGAGAACTCGCCTTTCGGCGGGATATTTTTGGCGGTTATACGAGTTCTTTAGTCTATTCATAAAATTGACTATTGAGAAGGTATTGTCTTTGCTTAAGCGAGTACTACATATTTATATTTTGTGTTTTAAACATAAACGCAAATCTATTACATTGATTATATAACTCGAAGTTTCAAGTGCTTTACAGCAGTAGTAGCCAGCGGAAAAATGTTTAAATGCAATAATACCGCGTTATATCCGTATAAGTTTTATTAAAATTTTAACAACGGTACCTATGAATTAATCCTTTTTAAAGTCTCGACCCTACTTCAAAGTGGACTTGTTACTATTATATAACTATATGTAGTTTATTCGGCCTAATAAATATGATTACCATTTAAAAATTGAGATAGCGCGAGCTATGGACTTCCGTAAACTCAAAATCCAATACATTTTCGACGTAGGACAGTCAGACTTTGCGTCAAGTTCTCATATTTCTATTCTGAATATTGCCCTTAGACATAAGACTTAACACGAACTAACCGGTCATATTTGTATTCAGAGACGCTCGAAATCAAACTTGGACTTAGTTTATGGCAAGTAATCGCCAAGGAAATCGACAACTTGAGCGAGACTGCGCTGCAAATCTGGCGCCAGCAAACGGACGTGCAGTTAAAAATAACAGATGAATGATGGATGTATAACACATTATTCAAATACGAGTATACAGTGTAAACTCTATATTACGACACTCAAGGGTCTGTGCATATTTTGACGTTATAGAAAAGTTGGGCTTAAATAGAAAGTAGAAAAATCTAGAAAAAGAAAAAGTTTATTTAAGACTAGTGTTAGTAATAACATAAAAAAACAATTCTTATTTGGACGCTATTACATATAGTCTGCAATTTTCGCCTGACGCCTTTGGCTGCACCAGAAATTATGATGTATTTTTTTACTTGTTTTATTCATATCTTGCGATATTAAGGCATCTTCGTGATAAAGCACGCTCAAACAATCCCAATTTGTAATCAAAATAATGGATTTCTTAGAAAGTTGGGTACGTATGATGCCGACAGTCGAAGTTATTACGGGCTAGGACAATAAAGCGACAAAAGAACGTACACAGTTCCGCAGTTTAAACTAATTTCGGCAACTTAAAAAGTACATTTTATTATTTAATTGTCGTAATTGAGAGTGGATGTAACGCTATGTAGAGTGTACCATTGCATGGAAGAGAAGCTAAACCTACCAAAGCAGAGTATAACCTAACCTAACCTACCAAATACGGTACGCTCAAGTTCTCCAAACAACAATTTAGTTACTTAAACTATTGGTTATATATCGAAATAACAACGCAGATATTTAAAGAAAACAAAGCCGATTTTTAGTTTTTCTTTATTTGTACACGTAACCTAATAAGAAGCTTACTAAAAATTCTACATCTAGATACAATTGATAATACAAAACATTAAGGATATATCGATGTTGCCTAGTAATCACAATAAATAATCTAGCAATAATAATTTCGATACTTAACTAACTATACATATTGGAACATTAAAAATCACTTCAATCAAAACGGAATTTTATAAATATTAAGTTATTTTCATATTATAACCACTTGGACTTTGACCCTGTAATAAAACCTAAAATTACTATAAATGCAATTAAACGTCTAACACAAGCGATATTTACAAATAAAATTTATATATACACCCAAATGTATAAAAAACTGCATCAAAGTTAATTTCAAATTTAAGCACGAAAAACAATTTATATAAGAGCGATGAATATTACGTATATTTAAATGCTTTCGCGCAAGTGACCAAAAATTAAGCTTTTTTTAAATTTTAAACACTTTTTTACATATTATAATTAAAACAATATACTGTGTAGCTTACATCTTATAAGAAATATTTAATCTATGGTAAATGCCATAGATAATCTACATCAAACAATATAATGTGCAAGAAAAGCGTGACGCTTACAATCAGGCGACATGCTCAACAAAGGACCGATCTATAATTAACAAATAATAGATTTCCTATTAAGAAATCACAATCGGCCCCAAAAATATATCACAAATTATAGGGGCAAAATAGACAAAGCAAACATGCATATACAGGAAGTGCTCTGTGTTACAGCGTGTATGGAAGACGCGTTTTGAATCTAGTCTCCAAACTGCTTTAAATTACGAAACGGACACATATATTACAGATATAGAATGAGTTAAAAATGTTTAACTCGCGTCAGGACAAATTCGTAAGACGGATGTTTTTTTAAAGGATTTTGAACCTTGCTATATAGTTTTAATTCATTTGTCTCTTTCCTCAGATACATTTATGCATGTGGATTTGGACCTTAAGTCAATACATCAAAGTTTAATTTTGCGAAACGTCTAAAGCTTTATTATTAACGATTTGGTCAGACTGACGACGGATGTAGAGTAGCTGGCGCGGCGTATTTAATGTAATATAAAATGTCATGTTTGTGTACGATAACGCAATAAATAAATATTGTATTCTACCACATAAATGATAATACTTTTATACTAATAATTAATGCAGTTCGTGCAAAATTATTCCCTAACCATTCCAAAATAGCAAAAATGCACAACGTTAATATTCAAGTTTTCACTGCCGGCACTCCCGGAGTACAACCCGTCGTTTTTTTCTGTCAATTATCTTCAAGGGCGAAATCTTTAACTACTAAAAACAAAAGAAAACTAGAAGGTTCGATTTTCAAATTGTATAATAGAATAACTTCAAATCTCTTTCAAAATTAGAATGATTTCGTTCGAAATTTAAAATTGGAGACACGGGATTCAAAACGTCACCAAACCATTCGTTCACTCACTCGTTCACACATAGCGTGTTGCCTACAAACTAGGTGCAATATGGGTAAGGCGGGGCTCACTAAAACAAAGCGAAAACAAACGCGGGAAAAGTGCATCACGTCAAAATAGCTACAAAGTTAATATATTTTTGGGTTTATATGTTTTTCGTGTATTTTCTATAAAAATGCGTTTTACAATAACTACATGATTGGAGTTTTGGAACGCTCCCACGCCGTCGTTCGGAACGGCGTTTGAGTATTCCAACGCTCGATGACGCGAGTGGCGCCACCTATTTTAAACATTTACCAGCTGACATGAATTACGCACTTTCAGCAAAGAAAAATATGTCAAAACACTACTAACAATTTTATTTCTTGCAACTAGTGAAATCAACTCTACTTGACCATTAATCGATTAGATGTTAGATTATCGCTTAAAACCCCACTATTTACGCGATTGCACTATGTTTTAGTATCACACCCTAATGAAGTTGCCCATCGTACTCACAACGCCATATATCGCTATACGGCGTGGACGTACTTATTTCCCTGAAGCTTCGTACGAATTATCGTATCCTTGCGAAGGACGTTCGAATTTTGAAATGCGATAGAATTATTTATTTATTCCGTTTATACAAAATAACGTTTAATAGTGCCCAGGAGTAATCTATACGTGATCGGTCGGTGGACTGTTGATTGGTTTGTTTGGTTCAGTAATGGTTGTCTAGAGTTGACATACTGCGGCCTGTTTGGGGCTACTCTGAGTCTTCGTCCTCACTGATTGTCTCGCCCGCTTTCTCTTGGGAAATGTTTTGACCTGAAAAATATTACCAAAAAATTACAATATTAGTCAAACAAGGACAGTTAATTATGTTTAAATATTTATCTTTATATATTTTTTAGATTGTCATCTCACCCTTTTTCGCTGATGAAAGTATGCACTTCTTGCAGCTTATGAAGAAAAAGGAGACACATTGGAATTGGGCGTGGAGGGCATCAGATCCATAGTCTTGCAGACCCATCCCGCTATGTCCACGCGTTCCGCGTCCGCCGAACGGATCCAGCCGTGATTCTGGAAACCACAATGAGGTGTGAACCAATTTAGGAAAAAAAAATTGTACAACCTGAAGTTTCAAGCAAGTTTATTATACAATGGAACCGTTTTAATAAAGTCTGTTTCTTTCCATCACATCGTAAAAACAATTACAAAGACCAAATAAGGGGGTTAGTTACAGTTTAACAGTGAAGTTAAATAAACCTTTTTACAAAATTTCGTTAAATAAGAAAAAAGAAAAGATTTTTTTTATTATTTATTAAAAGGATGTTTAGTTAAAAGGAAAGTGCAATAACCCCCACACTAGAATTTCCTGTGACATGGTCAACCAGTATCTTCTATTTGACATATTATTGGTACTTGACAATAATTTCTACATAACACTTCCTAATAACTGTTTCACAATAAGAATACTTCCGTTTCAAGATAGGATAGGTTAAGAAAATGTTGTTTAATATTTTTAGTGAACATATAAAGTTTTGAGTGGTGAAAATTTTATTTTTAAGAAAGTTTTGACGTGACAACGTCTTATAATTCGATGGAGCCGGCTGCACGCACGAAAAAACATAACTCATGCGGCGTTACCTCGCTCTGAGGCGTTCCATTTAAGGCTTGAAGTGCAAGCGAGAGCGCGAAGCGACAGAGAGGCACAATCGGACTCCGCGCTCTTCAGCGTTCGACATCTGTCTCTCTCCTACTTGAGAGAGCGATTCGTGACGTTGTCACGTCCAACTATCGTCAGTAAACCGACTTTACAGACAACCGATTTTTTGACGTGACAACGTCTTATAATTCGATGGAGCCGGCTGCACGCACGAAAATACATGACTCATGCGGCGTTACCTCGCTCTGAGGCGTTACCTCGCTCTGAGGCGTTACCTCTCTCTGAGGCGTTACCTCGCTCTGAGGCGTTACCTCGCTCTGAGGCGTTACATTTAATATTGACATAATTGTATTTATGCGTACAAATAAATGTAACTTGATCAATTCAATTGTGATTTCCTATATCCATACAAAATACCTATCAAACAAATAAAATTTAATTTATTTTTTTTAAAAATGCAACCATCCCATCAATATTTTTTTATGACGTTGTCACGTTCAACTATCGTCAGTAAACCGACTTTACAGACAACCGATTTTTTTTAAAGATGAAAGAGCCTCATAGAGATAATTAGAGAATCGGACACCAAATAAGTGTTTCTAATGATTGATCATACATTTTACGTACGTTCAATGTAGGCTTACTTCTACTAAAGTTCTTACATATAATACTTCTGTTCTTCTATTAATATAATACTTATTTAAAAAATGAATAAAAATGCTTACCATAAGCGTCTTAAGGTCAGCGCGCTCATCGGGGTTCTTTTTGAGACAGCGATCTACAAAGTCTGTGAACTCATCAGAAAACACTCCAGTGGGCAACTTGGGTGGCGGCTCATTCACTATATAGTCCAGTAGTTCAAATATAGCCATTGGTCTAGGGGAATTAGGTGCCTGGAATTAATTTCCGTGTGTAAGGATATATTCAACTGGTAAGTCATTTTAACGTAAACAAATTATTACATAATAATCAGTTCGGTTTCACCAAGGGTCGCTCGACAGCCGATGCCGGTGTTGAGTTATATAGATATATAGTTAAGGCTTGGGAGGAGTCGCATGACGCTTTAGGTGTTTTCTGCGACTTATCCAAAGCATTTGATTGTGTCCAACACGAGACCTTAATCGGGAAACTCCGCCACTATGGCATCAAGAATACCGCACTGAATCTTCTGACTTCCTATTTACACGGAAGAACTCAGAGGGTTGAAGTGAATGGTAAGAGGTCCTCTGGGTCGGCAGTAGATATGGGGGTACCACAGGGCTCAATTCTTGGCCCTTTCCTCTTTCTTGTTTATATAAATGATCTACCTTTCATGGTAGAGAGAAAACATCAGATAGTTTTGTTTGCTGATGACACGTCCTTGATTTTTAAAATCAAACGACAAATAACAAATTTTGACGATGTGAACAATGCTCTGTCTTCGATTGTCCATTGGTTTAGTATGAATAACCTTCTACTTAATGCAAAAAAGACAAAATGCATTAAATTTTGTGCAAAAAATGCAAGGGTTATGGATACTAGACCAATTATAAACGGTGAGGAATTGAATCTGGATGATACAACTGTATTTCTCGGAATCACCATGGATTCAAAACTTCAGTGGTCCCCTCATATTAACGGATTGGCGAAGAGACTTAGTTCTGCAGCCTACGCGGTTAAAAAAATTCGCTCACTAACTGATGTCGATACAGCTAGACTTGTTTATTTTAGTTACTTTCATAGCTTAATGACTTATGGCTTATTATTATGGGGTCATGCTGCTGATGTCGAAACTATTTTCATCCTGCAGAAGAGGGCTATTCGTGCAATCTATAATTTAAAATGTAGGGAATCTCTTAGAGATAAATTCAAGGAAATTAATATACTTACCTTTCCCTCGCAATATATTTATGAAAATATTATGTATGTATACAAAAATAGTGATAAGTTTACTAAACTCAAACTCAAACTCAAACTCAAAATATCTTTATTCAAGTAGGTAACCAAGTACACTTTTGAATCGTCAAGTTAAATTAATCGTAAATTTACATTTACTATACATTTACATTTACTATTACTAGAATAGAACATACGCACAATGTTAATACACGGAACAAACGCAGGCTGCAATTTCCCCGTACTAGACTATCTAAAGTTAGTAATTCTTTTTTGGGGAAAGGGATACTCTTCTTTAATAAAATCCCAGAGGCTCTTTTATCACTGCCTTTCAATAAATTTAAGAAATGTATTAAAGAAAAGCTGTGTAAAAAGGCTTACTATAAAGTCAACGATTATCTAGTTGATAAAAGGGCCTGGGACTAGTGCTAGACAGGCTACTTCTAATCTAATCTGCGATATTTGTTTTAAATAAGTGTTGTTTGATGATTTGCTGTTTTAAAAGAGTACCGAGAGATTTTTACGCCGGCTTTTTCTCTCGGCCTACACCCTCTGTCTTCTTTGCCGATGAGTAGGGATGCCTTCAAATTTAATGACGTGGAATAAGTGATACATGTATCTTATGTTCCATAATAAACATATTTTATTTTATTTTACACCTTTTCAATCTTAGCCACTGCCTTTGGGCCGGCCAGTCAATGGTTAGACTGGTTAGACCGAACAACATCCTTCCTCCACAGAACTAACTAAACAGTTTGTATGTTTAATTGTATCATAGAAACTGCTACTTTGACTGACATTTAAAAATCAATCAATGAATTATTTTTTGATAAATGAATGAATATTACAAGTTTACTTCATAACAATCAAACCTATGTATTATATTGATTACACTCAATAATATCTAATATCCATGCGTCGGGTTGTCTCTCTCCCTAAAATATGGCGAGGGGGCCGATGGCTGGCCATGCGTCATACTCGTGAACGGGTGCTACTTGTGGTGACTGGTCGTACTTGAATTCGTGTATGCGGCGATGTTAATTATTTCGACTATGTGTTTGCGTGTTGTTCCCACGAGAATGTAAGTGCGTGCTCCTATATCACCATGCCTCCTGCTGATACGGGACAAGTCTTTGTTTTTATTTATGTTATTATTATTAATTACTTAAAATGTCATGTGGAACATGGTGTAATGGTTGCAGCTCCTTACAAACGTTGTAAAAAAAAAAAACATGGCGATTAAAAAGAGTGGCGGAGAGTTTATTGCCAGTTCTTCTCTTCCGTTCTACGCCCTTGATTTGAGAACTGGCAGTAAATGTAAAATTAGAAGCATTAATATTTATTTCTTTAATGACGAATCACAAGTGTACATTGTGTTACCTACGTGAATAAATGATTTTTGAATTTGAATTTGCATTTGAATATATAAAATTCTCGTATCACAATGTTCGTTCCCATACTCCTCCGAAACGGCTCGACCGATTCTTATGATTTTTTTATGCATATTCAGTAAGGCTGAGAATTTATCAATCCCAGATCCCCAAAAAAATTATCTATTTATTTTGTATTTTTTCTAATGATACAGCATACAAAAATACATACAATCCCCTCTACGAACAATCCCTATTTTTTATTATTGTAGATAAATCTTTTTATTTAACTAAAAAATGTTTCCTAGAAATAATATACTTGGCAAAACAATGTTTGGCGGGTCAGCTAGTACATAAAATTTTTATAATTATCTCAGATGAAACTACTGCTGAGTTATAGCTAAACATGGGGGTAGTTTAAAAAGTGATATACACATACATATGCTGTATCATGTATGGTATACCCTCAACATCCTATAACAAAAAAAAAATATTTGACCTGTAATTAGAGTTAATGTGTGAAACAAACTATTTAGCATTAAGAAACTAAACCACTTATGTGGGAATGCACATGCACCTAAATATGGAAGGTACTTACTGGCTGCAAAAAAACTATTAAGACAGAGATGTAGCTTCTTGGATACTTTATATACTGACCTGTCCAGGTGAATGATCTTCATTCTGTCCTCCAAATATAGAAGCCAGTGTTTTAGCATCAGGCGGGGGTATGGGGTACATGCCTATTGCCATCTCCACAAGGGACAGTCCCAGGGACCATATGTCTGATTGAACCGAATAATGCGTGCCTTGAAGACGTTCAGGCTGTAATTCGATAAAATAATTTATTATTCAAAAACACTTGGCAGATTAAAATGCGTTTAATTATTATAAAACAAAATGGCTTTTATTTCTCTTCAATTAATGTTTAGTATGAGAATCGCATTATTATATGAAGGTCCACTCCAATAAGGACCAGCTTTCCCTTATCCCTATCTTTTTGATTTTATCGTCCCAACTTGCCTAAGGCCTCCTTGGTTGTCTTTTCCCATAGGGCTGCTTACAATTAATTATTAAATAATGTCACAGACAATCATGTTACCAATTTTTACACCAATCAAAGGCACTTAAAGCAGATTTAAACAACAAAGGTATTAGGAGTGTGCTTTAACAATAATTGCTTCAATGGCAGGATTAAACATTTTTAGAAGGAAATAAACTTACAGACATATAACTCCTAGTGCCGACAAATGAGTTGGCCATAGAATCAATAAGCTGCCCAGAGACACCAAAATCGCAAATCTTGATCTCACCATTACTGTTCACCAAAATATTGGACGGCTTCACATCTCTGTGCATAATTGCATGTTTGTCTCGCAAATAACTCAGACCTTTGAGAACTGCTGATGTTATTGTTCCTGAAAGTTTTTCATAATTTGTTAGATTAGACATCAGTCTTGCAGTCATCTGTGATCTAAGAGACACTTGCAGCGGATAAAATTATATGTTTAAGGCTATATTAATATATATTTTTTAAATTTCATACATCACTAGCAAAAAGCTCATTTTGACAACACTAGCATGCTTTATGTATCATTACTATAATTTTAGGAACTTAAGACCCTTTTCAAAAACTTTTTCAAGTAACTTAGGTAAGAATTGTTCATTAATCGCGGTCTCCACTTCTAAAGATCGTGTTGGTATCTTGGCGTGAGACCCCAAGGCCAATCCCCCATTCGCTTGACCAACCTAGTTAAGCTCTTTACAGGAATACTATTATTATAGGCAGCGGCACCGAAGTCTAGCGCTGGCCGATACGTGGAGGGGATTGCTGCGTATGTGTACTGTCGCGCGGGGGACGGAATGCGACTGGAGAGCCAATCGACGCTACGTGCGCCCTCTAGCCTCCCTCAGGTACCTTATTTTTTACTTCTGCGCAATAACGGTCAGCGCTAGAGTTTCGTGCCGCTACTTGTACACAAGTGCTAAGGCTTGTTGAAGACAGGATAAAAGGCTTAAGGAGCTCGAGAAACTTTGGTAAACCACTGAAGAAAGACGAGTCGTCACTTCACAGTCTCTAACACCACATTTTACGGGCTTCTATCCTCCTCAGATGCTTTCAAGTCTATATCAAGTTTCAGTGCCGTATAATGGGAAACTAGTGCCACAACCAATCTTTTTTTTTCTCGTTTTCACCAAAATGTTGTAAGTTACTAAATATATCCTCATATTTCGATTCTGGACCAAGTCAAACCTTTTGTAGCTTACAGTTAATATGATCAGGATTCACTGCTTGCATGAATAATGTACAGTTAACATACAATCACCTCACAATTTACATTATTTATAGATGGCTATGGCTAGAATAAACTATGACTCACCTAATACAGATTCAGGAATCCTACCAGCCTTCTTCAAAATTAAATCCAGTGATCCACCATCCATATATTCCATGCATATAGAAATTTCACCATCACTATAGAATGCTCCATAAAAACCCACAATGTGTGCAAAATTACACTCATGCAAAACTTTCAGCTCTCTTATAATTTGCTTTTTTATGGCTGGCTTTACTTCCAGATGTATAAGCTTCCGAGCCATGATAAGACCAGTTGATTTGTGACGTACTTTCATCACCACACCACCATTTCCTTGACCTGAAAAGTTTAAGAATTATAAATTAGATTTAACTAATGCAATATAATAGTTAAATTTCTTAGTTTTTGATATATTGATGACAATGAGCAATGTTTCTTATACAAATTGGACTAAAAAACATTTGAATGTATTTAGTGTTGATGTATTTAATATGTTGCCACTACTACAATAATTGTCATGCAGGCTAAAGATCTAATAAAGTCTGAAGTAATAAATACTTAATAAAGTAGCTCCAGTCAGTATGTTTTATTCACATATTTTACATACTCATAAATGTTACATATTTTTTTGGCTTATACTATGTCTACTGTATGATTAAGTAGTAGCTTTAGACATGTGTGATAAATAAGAATTAGTCACACATTTGACTCATTAAGATGATAATTGCATGACTATTATACCCAGTTCGCCAAGTTTCTCGAAGTCATCATCACTTAGCTCTCCGATCTTTTCTTTCTGACATAAAAATACTTCTATTCTTCTCCTTTGTGTGTCATCCATCTCTATTTGCTCCAATCTCTCAGTCAAAGCTTCAATACTAGTCTTTGACTTCCCAGCTAGGCCTTGCCTCCTGGCAAATGATAATATGAAGATTTGGTTTATTACAGTCAAAACTGTTTATGACGCCGTCGTTTAGAACAACATACCGGTTATATTGACCAAAATCAAAGGTCCCGGCTGAATTCTATTGTATTAGGTACTTAATAACAATGTCATTGGATTTTAAGACTATTGGTTTTTACAACCTAATATGAGAAGTCATTTGATGTTGTTATAACAAATTTTGCTACCATTAACTAGTTTTTTAGAGTTTCTATTAAAAATTTTCAACACTACTTCACATTTACTAAAATAGAATTCTTCAACAAATAAGTATATCGCAGTAGAGCAAGGAAATGTTGTCAGCATTTAAGATAACACTGTCACAATGACCATATTTTTTAAATTTGTTTTAGTCATTTATTTCTCCATTTTTTATTATTATTATTATGACTATGTAGATTAAGAATATTGCTAATACTCTGTATTTGTGTGTTATAAATCAGATGTTACTGAAAATCAATAGAATAGCACAATTACAGATTAGAATCTTTAATGGCAAACAAATGTGGAATTTGTAGACAATAACCTATTCTGTAATAAACTATTTTCAAGAGATAGAAACTTTAATTATTCTTAAATAAATGTAAGATGCAACATTTCTGTGATGTACCTAAAATTAGTAAAATACCAAAAAAAATTTAGTATAAGAACAATAGGATGATATCATTAAAAATACAACATGCAACAGGTTATATCGTTTTTTTTTAAATAAAAGTGGACTTTTATCACACTTGGAGCACTTTTATCAGATCCAGTTTTGTAAAGTGTGTTATTAATTAAATGTTGTTAGTCATTGTTTAAGGTAAGTATCCTTAGTTGAACCAAGCTACTTTCTATTAATCTTTGTTAAGGGCAATAAATTCTATAGAATTATTTAATCAACAATATAAAATTAAGTATTAATGCACTTAGCAAATGTTTGGAAGCAAAAAATTTAGTATTATGTCACAACTATACTTACTCTGAAGCTGTTGCAGATTTCAGCTGGGGAGTCATATTAGACGGAGTTACTGCCGGAGCTGTGTCTATAGACCCCGGTGGTAGGGTCAAATTTAATTTATTCTTCGACATTTTGCTCATTTTTAAATGATTTTTGTCAAGGCATCTACACAAATTAATAACTTCACTATTAAAACGTTCAGACTAAATTTCTAATTGTTCTAAAAATAAAAATAATACAGTCAACGTCACGTTTTTTACCATTAAAAAACCAATATTATTTAAAGATTCGGCGCACGATATAAAAAATTATAAATTATTCATTCGATTTCGACTCGCACTCATACAAATCGTTTTCTTTGAACTTTGAAGTTTTGTCAATTCTCACTAGTGTCAACCGTCAACATTAAATCGTGTTTATAAATATGTGGCAAGAGCGAAGGAAACTATACTTTTGTAATCTGTAGTTAAAGTTGTTATAAAAGTCAAATTGTCAAGTATTTGTCACTTGCATATGTTTTTTTATGTCAGAATTTCCCGCGTTTGCTTATTAATTGAAAAAGTAAACTTTTATTTTTGTTGTTTGGAACTTGTGTTATTCTTACGGTAATTGTCGAAAAGTTCATTCAAGCTATGTGATTATTACGGTACGATAAAGACACCTTACCAACTATATTTCATTGAAATATATTAAGTAATTTAGTCAATATATTGATACATTACAAAACTTATTATGAAACCACAAAAGTCACCTGGTAATGAAGAAGTGACGCCTTCAAAAAAAATTCTTAAACAAGCTCGACTTCCATTTCAAATTTTATCAGAAACTTCACCAAAACCAGATGAAGTTTCCACTAGAAAGAGAAAACTGTCTGCACCGGAACATGAGCCTATCACGAAAATTGGAAAAATTACAAAAGAAAACGATATCCAGGACTCAGTGATAGTCAGTGATGATGATAGCAAAGATGGTTCAAAAGAATTTGTTTCTGGAGACAATGTGATTAAAAAATTCAATCCTTTTGTTAAATTGGTTGATACGGCTTGGAAAAAGAAACAGAAATCAAAAACAGCTAAAAAGAAAAAAGATAAGAAAAATGAACCTTTAGAAAATGACTCAACAGACAATGGAAGTAAGGACAGTGATAATGGAATGGATGTTGATGAAATTCAAGACACTGATCAAACTATTAGTAAATCACAGACAAAACAATTAAATGATATAGTTGAAAACTTGGATGTTCAGAAGTCAAATGATATAATAACCTTAGAAGACTCTAATGATGTAGCAGAAGTCAGGTCTAATGACAAAAACAGTGATGATGATATTTTAATTGAAAGTGATTGTGAAGAATCTAAAAAGGAAGAAGATTCTTTAAGCAATGTAGACAGTAAAGCTACAAGTCCTGTGACTCCCAGAAGAACACCTAGACGTAAAGTAGAAAATGGTAAAAAGAGTCTAAATATGTCTCAAACAACAGACGACTCAGGCTCTAACCAAAACACCCCTAAGAGGAATACAAGAAGTTCGTCACAAGTGAAAAGTGAAGGAGATGTATCAATGACTGAAAATTCTAGTACTAATTTAACACCAAAACAGGTTTGTAATAAATTAATTTTAAAATATTTATGTCAAACTAAGCAAAATATGTGATGACATAGTGTTAAAATAATGTAATAATCAAGTATGTAAGATTAATTTTTACGCCATTGTGTGTGGCAGAATATGAGAATAAAATCGGGTTAAACTATCTATGTATTATTGTTCTTACACCATATTCTGCCTATTAAGGAATAATTGTTATAGTTACAGAAAAAGCTGGAATATGCTAAAAAGAGAGAGGAACGGGAAAAGAAAAAACAACAAGAAAAAGAGGAAAAGGAGAGAATAAAACAGGAAAAGGAGACTCAAAGAAAAAAAGAAAAAGAGGAAAAAGAAGAGGCTAAGAGACGAGAACGAGAAGAAAAAGAAGAGCAAAAGAAAAAAGAAAGGGAAGAAAAGGAAAAACAGAAAGAGTTAGAAAAAAGTGAGTATCTCTAAGTGTTATTAAGACTAATCTAGACTTTTATTATGTGAGCATAGAATAAAATTAATTAAAATATTATTACATAAAGTTAGAATATTTAGAGTTAAAGAAATGTCTTTAATGTTTGTGGGAATGTGTTTTTATTGTGATTGGGAATTACTTTAATTAGTATGCATCTAATTAAGACAGTTACATAGATTATTTTACTACCAATTTAGTATATAACATATATTAGTTATTAATTGTCTATACTTGTGTTCTAAGATTCACTGTTGAAAAAGATAAGGTGTTTGTTTACCTTTAAGAAAAATCTTATTTCTACACTCTTTAAATTCTAAACTGTGATAGATTATTTTTGTCTAAGTTTAGAATAAATTATATAAAACACTGAGGTCCATATCTCAAGTCACAATCTTGTCTAGAGAACAATTACATCTTAGTTTTAAATATAATATAGGTGTTCTTTATTACTTCAGAGGTAAGAGAAGAAAAAGAAGAACAGAAGCGTAAGGAAAGAGAGGAGAAAGAAGAACAAAAAAGGAAGGAAAAAGAAGCAAAAGATGAAGAAAGAAGGAAAAAACAAGAAGCCCTAGAAATGGATAAACTAGAACAGGAGCAGAAAAAAAAGAAAGCGGCAGAGGCATTTGCAAGCTTTTTTGTTCCAAAACAGAAAGCAGATAAAGACCAAACAACTATATGTCTTAGTAAAAATGATATGCTTTCAAATTTCACAATAAAGGCTGATATGAGATTGGCTCCCACTGTCAGAAATCCCTTAACAGAAGAACGAAGAAGTGAACTGGATATGTTTTTGGAAAGCCAAAATGTTAGAGATCTATATATAATGAATCTAAGGAGTGGTAAATATACTCCAATTGTTGCTGGTGAAAAAACTTGGCCTATTAACGAAAAAGATGATGATGTTGTTATTGTAGGTGAGTACAAACTGAAATACATTACGCATGTACAATATTAAAAGTTTTAGTATGCAGTAATCAAACTGAAATGGCTTTCTTAAGATTTTTTTTGTTACCAAATTAATGTCCCTTTTTAACAATATGTAAAAGCAAATATTTAATGTAATGATAGATGCTTGTATGAAACAAATTTACAATAAACATAGAAAACATGGTGCAATGGGTGGCCTTATTGCTACTAACCAACCTCTTCTAAGCAACCCTAAAGAAAGAAAACAGTATAAAAAGCTTTGAAGCAATATTATCTTTAAATATATCAACACTCTTAAATAAATCATAAGAATATGTCAGAAATATTTATTACATTTAATATTTTATTTTGAAGTATTTTCTTAAAACCAGAGTTTACTAAAGGTTTATAAAATTATAAGTAAAAGTTAATGAATTGTATTCAACACCTTTCAGAAGACGAGTTACCACCAATAGATGGTGCTGGAGAAATCGTCTCATGCGATTTGGGTGTAAGGGAGAAGCTTCGGCCGAAACTTCTGAGTTTCCATGAGAACAGAAGACCGCCTTACTGGGGCACGTGGAGGAAGAAAAGTGCTTTTATTAAACCGAGGCAACCATTTTCTATGGATCAGGTAAACCAGAAATTTATATTGTAAAGAGGTGTAGTTGGTTTGTTGAGAGTAATATTTAATATTACTGAACTGATTTTGATAACTTTTTAAGCAGTTAAAAAGGTACAGTATTCTATGCTTAATAATTTGTGTAAATAAGATTTTATTTAAATAAATTTTTGTTGAAAATATTTATTAAATTTATTTATATTTCAAAATTTAGAATGTATTTTTTAAGTAAGATATACCAATCATATCTTATCTTAAAAAGTAGTTTTAATTTAAACACTTTTTCACTATAAGGCTATCTATATTAAAATATTGTTAAATTGGAAGCTTGGCAATAATTTGTATGAATTTATTGTGTTTTTATACTTTTCCATTTTTATTAAGTAAAAGTATGTCTACCGCATGTCTCATACAAACACAAAATTATAGTATTTTACGGTATTATTTTACAAACTATATTGGAACTGACAGAATTTATAATAAATTAAAAAAAACTATATTAATTTCAGAAACAACTGGAGTATGAAGTGGATAGTGATGAGGAATGGGAAGAGGAGGAAGGTGAGAGCATCGAAGGAAGTGCAGCTGGAAGTGACGATGAGGGACCGGATGAGTATGAACTGGACAATGAAGTGTTTGTGCCACATGGATACCTTAGTGATGAGGTATTAGATGTTATATTTAATAAAATAAAATAAATCAGTGGCGCTACAACCTCTATAGGTCTTGGCCTCAGATTTCTGAATCTGTTTCATGATCATTTTTTTAAATCTAATAGGCAAGTAAGTGATCAGCCTCCAGTGCCTGACACACGCCGTCGATTTTTTGGGTCTAAGACATGTCGGTTTCCTCACGATGTTTTCCTTAACCGTTCGAGCGAATGTTAAATGCGCACATAGAAAGACAGTCCAAAAAAAAATAATTATATTCCGAGCCGCGAATAATATATTTATTTCAAATTCCTACAAAAGATTTGTTGTATACTTCCAGGAAGCAACAATGGACGACGATGACGTCATGTCCCTTTCACCGGAAACGCAGAAAGCGCGGCTTAAACATTTAGAAGATGAATTCGAGTCTGAATTGAAAAAGCCCACAGAAAAACTAAAACCCAGACTTTACGGCCTATTGTGGGAAATGGAAAATGGAAAACCGGAGAAATGCGTCGATGCCCTTTGGAATTACTTCAGCAAAGTGTCAATGATCATGAATGATCCCCCGATAATGCAGCCAACCAATGAACCTGAGGATAAGAAGAAAGTAAAGAAAAAGAAAGTTTCCGACGTAGAGACTAAAAGTCCTGCGGAAAAGAAGAAGAAGGAGAAGAAAGAGAAAAAAGAACCGAAGGAAAGTAAACAAAAGAGTGAGAAACAAGAGAAAAACCAATTGGGTATTAATGCTTTTTTGACAAAAGTTAAGAGTTCATGAGTATTAATTTATTGTTTATATTTTAACTATTTTAATTAAAAACGAATCAATAGTTTCAGACTAATTTAATTTTTAATGTTCAAACATTTTTGAAAAATAGATGTTGACCCAGAAAAACTTTTAAATATGACGTATAGATGGCGCTTTATAATTTGTACTCAATGTTAATTTATCTGAAATGTATTTATCTTTAATTATGTAAATATTGCTTCATAATCTCATGTCATGTAAAATATATTATTGTGACAAAAATGTTTTTATTTTAATCTATTATTCAATAGAATAGCTAAGGACAGATCAACCGTTGTCAAGAGACTAGCTGATTAGTGGTAATAATAATATTGTAAAAAAATATCCTAGACTAAGTACAGAAATAAAGGGTTATTTTATTTATAGACATGAAAAGTTAATTTCCTATTATTTTATATATATAGCAAAGCAAAAATTACTTCAGACCTGGGGGTTGATCGGAGCCCAAACAAAGCACTAATTATGATTAAGTTTTCTTCGACTTCTGAAATTACACTATGACAATTCGCCTTAGCAGTTGCCTTGTCGGATGTATGGCCTTTGGGTATAATGCTTAGAGCAACCTCAGAAGGCCTATAGGCTCTAGTGCGCTACGAGTTTTTGGGCATAGTACAGTGGTAGCAGTAAGAAAAATTATTTTTAACCAACTTTTATAAAACCTTTAGGCGTTGGCTTCATATTTCTGTATCTGGTTTCGTGATCATTTATTGTTCTTTTGTGCCTGACATGTTTTTTAGGCCTAAGTTGGATTTTTCACGACGTTTAAATATATGAGCTAATGTTAAATGTTCAAGGAAGAAATTGATGCGCAGCCGTGATTCGAATGCAGAAGCTACTCTTAAACTAAAAGAAACTATAGCGTAATTACGCTAATTTAATCACAATTATAACGTTTTAGTTTCTATCAAGTCTTGTACATGATTTTATGAAATTAAAGAATATATAATTGATTTGATATTTAGGTGTATTGTACTATAGGAACTTAAAAAATAAAGATATACCTACGCATACAAAATCTCGAAAAATATATTTACGTTTATGAGTAGTTAGAGTTACATAAATATATTATAAAAATAAAATAATGTATACTAATAATATATAATAAAATACATAAAAATAAATAAATCAGTGGCGCTACATCCTTTTTAGGTCTGGGCCTCTGATTTCTGTATGTTTCATGATCATTTTTCAATCTAATAGGTAAGGTTAATGTAGGTAAACAGATTCCTGTGCCTGACACACGCCGTCGCGTCGTCTTTTTATGTCTAAGGCAAGCCGGTTTCCTCACGATGTTTATGAGCACAGAAAGAAATTTCATTGGTGCACAGCCGGAGATGGAACCTACCTCAGGGATGAGAGTCGCACACTGAAGCTACTAGTCCAACACAGCACTAGTATAATATACAATATATTAAAACAAAAACTTTTTGAATCTATCTAGGCCAAAAACAATTAACTATTAAAAAAAATTAAACACGTCATACGTCAACAAAACAACTATTATTAAAAGATTTTTCTAATAAAGTGCTAACGCTACAAATGGGTACAAAAGTGCGTGATGTTGGTGCTTTTCTGAAAAAGATACGAGCAATCCTCTTAGGCAGAGAGCACAACTTACACGGGCGCTTCCCGCCATACATTTCGCCTAGAACGATTCCGCCTCCCGAAATTCCACGTTGTCCGGATTACAAGTATTCCAACCAATATTATCATGAGCGGAATGCGTTCCATTCCGTTCACCCTCCAGTGGTGGCACCAATCGCCGAGGGACCACCACTTAAAATTGGCGGTCCTGGACCCTTAAAGTCAGATTCTGTAAGTATTTTTGAACATAACTTTTATATAACTACACCCAACAAAAGTCTGGCTACAGTACTAGGGAAGATAGGCGCTTCTTTGACAGCGTATCGAATTCCCTTATATCTAAATTTATATAAATATCACGTTGATGCAGCTATTATTTCAGCACTTGGCTTGATACCGAAGCTAAGCTAAGCTAAAGCTCTTTTTTATTGGTCAGATATAAAGAATGATGGCTAATCTTGTACGGTTTGTAGATTTGCTTCAATAGTCCGCCTACACCCGGACCTGCTTGGTGGTGGGATGGCCACTGCTATTACGAATGCGCTCCCGACCCTCCACCATTACCTGTAAAAAAATCTACGACTAACATCGACCGTCATACTCCCTGTCCCCCTCCTTCTAAGGAATAGCTTTATACAGTGACATTGTTTAGTGGTTTGTAAAAATAGCTATTAATTAATCATACATTGTCTGGATTTTATTATTAAATTTATTTAAAACAGATTATTGCTTTTATTTATTTCTTACTCGTGGGCTGTGCTGTCGAACAAAGAAACAAAAGCTATCACATGGAACTGAATGCAAGTAATGGTTTTAGGTTTATCAAAGAACTTACAATTCAAAATATATAAACTAAAAAATTACACGAGGAATGGATTACCTAATTCTCCGGATTTTGACGTTGGTTAAAAAGATACTAATTGTAGAAAAATTTTATACATAACATAAGCACTTCTTAGTTGATGAAAAGTGAAAACGTGTGCCATTTTCTCGATTTCAAGGTAAAATATAACAAGTAAAAGAATGGATCGTGCCGACCTGAAAAATAGGACAAGGACAGGGGATAGATAGGGATAACTGATACTCAGTCATCTTCCTTAATATAATACGTTAGAGGACTATCTTGGAAAGGCTTTTTACCTCACTAAGTAGATTTGTTGCAATAATTAGGGCACGTCACACACAACTTCCTACTTAAAACTAAGGTTAAAGTGTACTTTTTAATAAATTAGTAAAGTAAAGTAAAAAAAGTAGTTTGTTTTGTTGTGTCAAGGCTTCGCAACCCCAAGAGCGCAAAAGGGCAGCCTTTCTGCACCTTTGTCTACTACCATTTAATAAAGCCTGAATCGTGTTAGATCATATATGGAGTGCTTTATTATTACTAATAATTTTCATGAACTGCAAGGACTTCTGTAATTATGGTAAAATATTTAATAAAACAATTTTTAACGGGATTGAAGTTATGTATTTACAATTATTTTACATAATTTTAAATTTAACCGACGTTTCGCGTGCTTTCACGCACGCTGTAACGCTGTAACGGTGACAAAAATAATATAATTTATAATAGTATATATAAAACCAATAATAGTATATACAATAAATAATATGTAGTGTGAAATAGTTGCAAGTCAAGTTAATGTTCCTGGTATTTTTAAGAACGCGCTTACTCTATAAAAAACAGCTAGTCAAGTTTTTTACTGTTTTTATACAGTACGAATATCACTGTGTTCGAATTCAGGACATCTTCGGAAAATAGACCAGATGAGAAGTTACTTCATATCACAATACTATGTATTAGGTATAATGAAAAGAGTTGTTTGATATTATTATCTTGGTATATCATTACCATAAGTCAAGGCGAGGTTGTGTAATATCAGACAATGATGCTCTGTCAATTGTCATACATTATTTATTAACACATTTCTTTCGCAAATGCGTGCATAATAAATGTACATTATGCCATCCGATTTATACAATAAATAAAATTCAAAAATATAAATTCAATTATCACGTACAATACAGATATACCTACTAACGAATTTAACAGTAAAGCCATAAAGGATTTCCTACATGAATTTCACATTTAATACCTTTTGTTCAGTTCTTCCCGCGATGGGCTGATACATAAAGTAATAATTATTGTAAAATATGCAGGCAGAATGGAACTAACGAGGCAGAGTTGCCACCTCTTAAAATACTTACTCTCTTATTTGAAGGGCAATTTCGACATAACGAAGGTGTATTGAAAATGAGAAGCCAGAAAATAACGTTGACGTTATAAATACCTATGTACTCGAGAGTACTTAGGTACTTCTTCCAGTTCTAGAGGAGAATTCGTAGAAATTCAACTAAGCTATGTAAACTATTTAATAACAGAGTACCTAATGAAGTCTGCATGTTTAATAAAGCAATGGCTTAGTCTCGATAGTATGGCAATGTTGATCAATATTAACGTTACTTTTTTTGTTACCGCTTCACTGAGAACGGTCAATGTACTGCGTTAGGTCAGTACATTGTTTTAAAATTCTAATATCCATAAACGAGGGTTGGGTATATAAATTGATATACATATATGTAGTTAACGTAACTAAGAAATACGTTAAGGACGAAACAATCTTAAAAGGTGTATGCTCATCTAAATCAAGCCGATTTTAACACTTTAGTTGCACTGCACACACCCTACTCGCATTCTTTCTGTATTTATTGTTTAGTCTGTAAACCTTTTAATAGGCGTTTTCATTTAAAAAGTATTTTATATCATGTTTAGTACCTATGCTGTAAGGTTTTCTAAATCAATAAATAAATTTAATAAAAAGCAGTTTCATTGTTGTTGATGATGGTATTGTAGAGTTTTTGCGGAAAAAATTGTCGAAGTATTTTTGGTATTATGTCTCCAATTTATAGCTTTAAGCGTCTCAATTTCATCATATTGAAATATCGTTCTTTACTATATACCTAAAATCTATCAAACGCTTTGAATAAATAATATGATACCTCCAATAACCTTATTATGAAACATTATATTGTCTGATTAAGTAGTTTTCTATAGGCTCTTATTCTGTTCCTCATAGATAAGAGATGGCGATTAATATCGGATGCCTATGATCCTCGAAGTACGGAGAGCTCAAGAGCACTGATCGCTAGTGATTAGGAGTAATCTGTTGAACCGTATCTACCAGTTTACGACAGGCGGTTAGCGCATGAGCGAAATTACGCCCGGCCAGTCAGTCCTTCTAACATTATCACCCGCAGCACACGCATCGGAACCTTCCTCATAACCGCGTATAAGATACACCCTCGTACAGCTTGTGATGTGAAATCAATTTATTGTGTTTTGGGAAAGCTGTAAAAATGATACAGGACAGTGAAAATTCTGAATTAGCTACCCGTATTGCTGAATTCAAGAACGATCCGGAGAAACTCCGCGAGGCTTCTGAGTTTGTAGAACAACTGATTCAGCAGGCAAAGAAAGAGGCAGAGTTTAAACATAAAGAGAAAGAGAGAAACAAATTCGTAAGTATCAATGTATATTTATCCCGGTAAGGAATGGATGTGCTAGGGTAGGTGAGTTTATCGTATTTGCAATAGAACGCAAATCGCTTCGTCGTTAGAAATAGCAGGTAGACTGAAACTGCATGCTATATAGCACTTCCATCATTCTAGAATTTCTATATATATAACGATTTGATCAGGGTCAACGTTAGGACAATGGACATCGATTGAAATTATTGATGTATTTTTTTCTGAAGCATATAAACTGCAGTGCTATAGGAATTATATGAAGTTTATCGCCAAGTTTGGAAAAAGTAACTAAGAAATTATTAATGTACATTATCGCACATGTATTGTTTAATTTTATGTTATCTTTGACGTTATCTCTGATGAAATAAGCGATAATGCGACAATATTGGTTATTTTTTGGTTATACAGTAATTACTACTCGAGCCTACCTTAGATTAGTTTCCAAAAACATATTTTCAAATTTGAATGAACATCGATGTGTCTATTCTCTTTTTCGAAACAAGATATTTTCGTGTATGCAACAGCAGTATAAGAGAATTGTTTTGATATACCTATATACAAGCGGTTTATTTAACTACGTATTGGTTTTAATTTGTTTCGAACTATAAATACACCTTATATGCAAAGCTATTTTCTCGCATGTTCGTGACTTCATACAATTCTGCCATTAATATACAAAATATTTCTATTGTAATTTCTGCATTGTGTGGCCCAAGTTCATCTAGAAATTATTTTCGTTGTGATTTTTTTATTGCTCGCTTTTGCAATTTTGTAATTTCATTTGAACTTTACTTAAATACTTGATTTGTTTGTTATTTGTTGCAGGAATCGCAGGAGTTGGGCTCAAGTAAGTGTCTTCCTTATTTTTTTTTATATTTACATTCTGTTATCTATATTTTTGAATACAAAGCAGGCCTATTTAGAAATACGCACCACTTTCCGAGCACAGTCTATCTTCAGAAAGCCTTCGCTAAATTTAATCGCCCGTTACACATTTATTTCTGAGATTCTAATTAGTAATATTATTATTACAGCTAAGTTGTTCATTATGAAATGATGTTTAGGTGAAATAATTAGGACAAACTCTTTAAAACATCGTTTACAGTTAATCCTTTGACAAAAGACACGTGGTTTAAAATGTTCTAAATTATTATTATTTCCGATAGGAAATATCTCATGAAAACATTAACAGTACACTGATTAGAATCGCCCAGCGTTTCCGAAATCAATGTTATAATAGATGGCGACATTTTAAAACCATAATTAAATATCTAATTAGACAGAAATATAAGTAATCCGAACCGAAGTAACCTAAATCCCTTACAAAAGTATATACATATTAAGTATAAAATACTTTGCGCAGAAATCTGAATAGCCCTGCAGCTGTAAGAACCGACTTCATGAAATCCATGCGATTAACTTGGTGAAGAAACCGTAATTCTGTTCAGTTATTGGGTTTTAAAATACTGACGATGACTTATTTTGCCAATGGTTATTTTTACAAAAATCGCTGTTTTTTGGGGCGTTTTACGAGTACTACAAAAAGTTCTTTGCAATAGGCGTGTCGCGTGACCCATTAGCGCCAGCCGACAGTTGTATTGCGAAGCGTGACCTAATACATAGATAATATACTACGTGTGTGATTTCCTTATAACTCTGTTACTGTCACAAAAAATATTTTAAAATTATAGCAAGGGCGTTTTTCGAAGGTTACATGAATATGATATTCACAGCTTTTCAAATGCGTATATTCTTACAATTCGTATCGTATACTACCTACACACATGTTTGTTACTTATTCGGTTTTGCGTCATACAGAACAGGACTATTATTAAAGTTCATTCCCATATTCATACCTTCGTCTCGTTTTGTCAAATTGTGTTTACGCTGTGATGAAAAGAGACAAATGGATTAGTTAAAACGATGCAATTAGCCTGATTTTTTTGCAATGTAGTTATAACAACAGAACGGAAACAATGAAAATTTTAAAAATAGAAAATGATTATTTTTATTTGTAATCGAATTTGTTATTTCGATTAAATACTCGCCTTATATTATATTTTACTACAAGTCACTCATAAATAAAACTGTGATGTATTTGCACTCCGGGAGTTTTTACATTATGAGTCACTATCACTTGAAAATCAATATTTAATAAACTCTTTTGTAAAAATTACGGGCACCTAAGGAAATTTACGTTCTACGATTCTGATAATTTTATCAAATTTAATTGTCCGATGTCTTAATATTGTGTGAATTTATACGCGTGAATTCTGCCAATTTTTATTTTAAATTATGAGTTTTTAATAAGAAATGGTGGGAAATAATGACAAGAAGATATTTTCCTTTTTTTTATTAAATAAAGATACAAATTTAAATATGTACCTATTAACGAGTGTGAACTCCTCTTGCTAAAATCACATATCTATTCCTGCTGGGCATGCTTTCCACGTTTTTACTAACGTTTTAAGGAATATGTTCCCGCTCTTTGCTCTTGATGTTTTGTGGAGTAGGTTGCACTGATTTTACTCGTCTCTTTAGAACATCCTAGACATGCTCAATTGGTAAGGACTTCGAGATGGGCAATATATTCGACGGATCCCAATTTGTTGCATGTACGCCAAAAGAGTTTATATTTATTTATTAGAAGTACCTAATAACAAATTATTAGTTCTCCTGGGTGGAATATATTCGTCATTATTATATAAATAACCGAGTTTTCTCTTTTAGCTTTTTCTTATTTAAAATACACCATTACAACACGAATCATAGACAAACATGTTAATTTAAAATAAATAATAGATTCGTAACACTAAATAAATCTAAACTCTAAAGTATTTTAACTGTTAAAACTTTCATGCTTAACTTAACCGTGCGTAGAACTCATTAACCCTATTAGGAGCTTGTTCAAGACTGATTAGAATATGTACTTGTTTAGTTTACCTACATCAGTAGATATCGTTCGATATTTCATTTAACTTAAATTATTATCTAATCACCATCGCATTCGGTTCATCTGGAACTCCACATAACCACGTGCCAAATACGTGCCAATAAATAAACTATGTAGTACTTTTTCACTAGTTCTTTTCTGTTTTGTGACCTGTTTATTCTGTAACTTCGAATGGCCACACCAATACCGACTGTTTTAAGTTTTTGTATGCAATTTCGATAATATCCCTAGTGCAATGTCGCAAGCTTAGCATCGCAGACCAAAAATTCACCATTCTATTGGAAGTTACAGAATAAGGGCGCAGGTATTTCTCTCTCTCTATTACAATTTTGATACTACGAAGGGACGGATTTTCGAGCGACTGCAGTATCACCAGCAGCTTTCCGATCTCGGGAAATGAAGATTTTCCTTAAAGATTATACTTAAAAAACAATTGTTAGAAAGATTACTTATTATTACTTGTATATATATAGTGTAATGATAAAATTGAAAGTGTATTGGATTACTTATATTTTTGTTCAATTACCAATTTAAAAGATGGTTTTAGAACCAAAAGTCAAAAATTTACAACACAGAGTTCGGAATGTTCCCGTATAACATTTTGAAATGCCAAAAACATCCTTTTACAAGTCAGTAAGGTAATGACGGATGCCAACAATCAACAATAATTGGTAATGAGTTGAAAATAACAAAGCGAAGTTAAACATTACGAAGCGCTGACGTCAACATTAGTAGTTATCCATAAGAACAATGGCTTTGAGAAACTGATTCTGTAATAAAAGATTTGATAATTTTTAAACAACACCAAATCGTGAATTACTTAGATAGGTATACATGTTAGGAATGTATGGGTAATTTGGGATGAAATACCGTGCGTATACATAACACTTAGCAGGTTGCAAATAACTTATTATGAAACGTAGATTGGGCAAAAAACATGAAACAAACGTGTTTAGTCCACGTTCTTTGAGACTGAAAGTGCCCAAAATACGCGACAACCTTTTAAGGTATGTGTCTCAGATTTCTGTATCTGTTTCGTGATCATTTTTTTTAATAGAAAAGGTGATTCTTCTTCTTCTGTGCCTGACACACGCCGACTTTTTGGGTCTTGCCTATGCCGGATTCCTCATGATATTTTCCTTCGCCGTACGACCGAGTGGTTAATGCGCTCATCGAAAGTCTATTGGTGCACGGCCGGGGATCGAACCTATGACAGGGATAGGACTCGCACATTGAAACCACAAGACCAACACTACCTAATATGGCCAAATCAAATAAAAATAATGGAACGTATTAGAATTTGCAATTGCTTTTATTCGAATAATTTTTAAACTTACTGACCGAGCGATTAATTCTTTTAAAACTTGACTTGAAAAATTGTCACGATGTATGGATTAACATATTTTAAGTCGGATGTTTCTCTGAATAAATATTATAAACATAATATAATCTTGGATTCGCTGTCACGACTTTTTATTTACTTGAAACATAAATTACACCATGCTTGCTAATAAAAACGCACTTGGATATATGTTGACAGCTTATTATTTGGAATTTATTGATTCACTATAATTTCATACGATATTCAATTATACCTTTATTAATAGCGAACTTCTAATTCCTGTGTCTTTTAGAAACGTAAACCTCTTTCTCGTTTAAAAAAAAATATTGTTCCGTACTAAACTAGAGCAGTGATGGCCTAGTGGCTTGAGCGTGAGCCTCTCAACTCTAAGGTCGTAGATTCGAATCACGGATATCGAACCTATGCGCATTTTACATTACAAAAATATCAAATGAAATCAAAATACGTTTATTCAATTTAGATGCGTCTTAGGGCATGCTTACGAATGTCAAAAACGTTTACAAAATTCGCGAAAGAATAAGACTACGCCATCCGTTCGCAAAACTACCAGGAGGCCTTGTTCTGAGAAGAACGGGCAAGAAACTCAGCAAGTTTTACCCTCCCTCTGCATTACAATTATTCAAAGGAAAATGTCATAAACCACAACGTCATTAACACGTTCACTGCGCCATCATTTTTAAAGAACTTTCAGCTGGTGCGTTGGAGACCTAAAAGATCTCGTAACAAGCCTATCCTCTGGTGCGTTTGGGACCTAATCAGTCTCCTAAAAATACACTTTTGAAAATAATTTATATCTTCCAAAAAAACAATGACATATATTTTGAATTTTTTGTGGGTGAAAGATAGCTAATTGCTTTATATTTTGCTAGGTTCGCACGCAGTTACGACATTTGAATAAACTACAAATAAAAAAAAAATTAGATATCGATTGTATCTCGTACCGCACCCGAAGATAGTTCAATATGTGTAGTAAGTAGTGATGGGAATAAAATAATATCTCAGTTATCGATTCTAAAAGTTTTATTAATTATGCAAAGTGTTTTTCATTAAAACATGGTAAGCACATTGATTGCTTGCACATTACGCGCAAATGGTAACAATTCGTTTAGTTTTTTAGAAGCGTCAGTGCTGTTTAACTGCGTGTGCTCCAACGAAAAAGGTTTATCGTTAAATATTTCATAATCAGAATCACTGTCATTATTAGTCAATGGGGGGCAAATTTGAACATTTTCCAAAACAAATATTTTACTGGACGATGCAGCAGTACAATCCGGCGTTGATTTTTTGTTAGAAACCTCACCAATAAAATAGATTTTTTACACTTTTTTCTTTTAAACTTAATCACTCATTGTTTATCAAAAATAATCAACACGCTGATATATACGCGAGTGTTATTTCCAAAACGTCCCCCGACTTCCCGAATGTCGATTCTAGGACAACACTAAAAATCCCATCCTCCATCTCTTGCGTCTACGAGGCGTACGATTTCACGAGTACCGACATATCTCCTAACGCAAGGAATTAAAACAATTACAGTACTGTGCGTTAGGGACCTAATCCATCTCTAATTTATTTTTTAAAGTCCTTGAATTCAGCTTTAAGTACGAAGCAAATATGTATATTTGTCCTGCTCATCCTTAAAGAACTTTACAAGTTACATCCTCCCGCAAGGAGTGAAAAAACACGATTATGTTCAACGCACAATACAAAAGTCCTGCAAGAGATCTGATAGATCTCGTAATGCAACGAACGTGTTAAAGTTACATAAGTAAAAAAAAAATAACCTGTTCTGTGATTTACCACATTCACCATTACACACATATTCACATCACTTCTGAGATAACAAATCAAATTATAAGAATATAATTAGAACTATTGCCAAGCGTTTTTATCTTCCAGGTAGTGATTGACTGTGTAGTAACCTTTACACATTAAGGTTTTTTTTGATATGTGTTTTTAATCTGTTTAAAGGCAGTTCCAATATTTCACTAGGAATCATGTTATAGCATCAAATATAATCATGTTATAGCAATATCTTGAGGAAACTGGCATATCTCAAAAACTCGAAGGCGTGTGTAAGGCAGATAATGCTGATAACGTACTTGTTTCTTTGAAAAACAAACAACGACGAAACGGATACGAAAGTCTGAAGTCTAGACCTAAAAGGTTCTAGCGCCACGGGTTTTGGTACCAATTTGAGCTCAACTCAGTAAGCTACTTCTCTCAAAAAAATTTTGTTACTATTCTACATATTATGTTTATTTTATAAGTGGTTTGTAAACACGACCTTATCTAATCGCCTGAGCAAAATGTCTTAAACTTGCGATAAGAAGTTTTACATGAATGATATTAATGCACTAAGTATGCATGTATATAAAAAAATATAATAACATTTAAATGATATTAGAGGTTACAGAAAACAGATTTTATTTAATGCACGATTACATGGCCTTGTTAATTTGTTATGCTAAACCATTTTTGAAGTTCTTTAATAATCGTCGATTTTGTTATTTTAATAATAACATAGGTACGAAGTTAATAGAAATATGCAACGGTCTGAGCTTTTGCCTGTCATGTCCCTACAAACAGGATCGATAGTAGGTACGCCTAACGCCACCCTCGCATAATCACCCCTGGCTCAGAGCACCTATTTAACAATATTATACCCTATATAAGTATCCGCCGTGGCTGTTACGAGCTTATTATCATCATCTGTTAAGGTTTTTAGAATGCCCCTGGGTGGTTGTATAATTTTAAAATTTAAACATAATTTATTCATAAACTGTACTAGCTATACCCTACGTCTTTGTATACATATGAAAAGAGAGAAAAGGGAATCTCATTTGAGCACTCCCGTCATTGAAGTCTTGTCGTTATAAGAAAAATCATTATAACCTCTCTTCCATGCATAAGATTGTTACGTTTTAGTTTAACAAAATAAAATATCTCTACACAAGTCTACTCTATACACCTCCCGAGCAACATTTCATTCACTCAGGTCTCAAAATCCGTACTTCGGTGAACCCCCGTTTTCCGGGAGGGGTGGAGATAATTTTATTGAAGGTAGACACAGCTTTGAAGTTCTACCTCAGACTTTGAGCTTTGTGTTATGTGTATGTGATTCTAAAAGTTTTCTACCTCGAGTATTTCTCTTCTCACGTGATATATAAAGCGTTTAGTTTTAGTTTTGTTTTTTTTGGCAAAGGAATTTATAACATATATTAATATACGTTATGTAAACCCTTTTTCAAACTTTGTAATATCAAGGGCCTTAGATAAAATTATTCAGTGACAGGCGAATGGCGCCAATCGAATTTATATGGAGTTTATCACGTGATAAACGTATACGGTATAGTGTAGACTACCAGGAGATTAACTCGTATTAACATCAAATATTTTGAATCAAATTGTAAAAATATTATATTACCAATTTTTTTGTATGAAAAACATGTGTATAATTCTAGGGCGTGTTTATTGCTATTAATTACTATGAATAGTCTCGGACTTAAAAAGGCTATGCGATTGAGCTGTCAGACTGACATCTTATTGACATATACGAATATTTGACAAAACTGTTAGTGAAGTGCTGTTAGTTTTAGCAAATTTTTTTTCTAAATTATACTTTTCCTTTTTCAGATAATGTAAAAAGGCGCCTTGGTCGGGCTAGAGGATTTGTTTTACGAATGTTTGACGCACTCTGCAATTGTACGCAGACTGCAGCCGCTGCCGCACGCACGCACGCAAGGAACAACCCATTTACAAAACGTTAGACGCACAATCAATTGTTAGAAAACCAATTCAAAACTGTAGGTATGACCAGATCAAGTATTGGCTGACACGTAAATAATAGTAGGATCTATAAATAATTGGCGGATAATCGCTTGCCTATAAAGAAAAATTATAAATGAAATACATAAATAAGACAAGACAAGATACATAAAGGATCGAAGGGTTACTAGATATGATGATACCCGCCAATACAAGAAATATGTTCTATTGAAATGATGTATTTCTTAAACTGACGACGACGATGAATTCTAGTGGAATATACAACCAGCTGGAAAATGTTAGGAAACCATATTGTACTGGGATTGCTTGCAACTATAATTACTTCATAATTGTCGAATACCTACTTTGCATATTTAATAGATAATAACCAAAACGTAGGCACAACGTGGATGTTAAAGAATGTATTAATTTATGTAGTCAGTAGTCTTCCTACACCTTATTTGTGTTAATGTGATACCCCCTGTACTAGATAAGTAGGTTATATACGCTTATATATGTAGGTATCCAATTTCATATCAATGTTTAATTGGTGTGGCGATTATATGAATTTTCAAGAGATTCTGACTTCGTAAAAAACTTAACAGATGATTTCCTCATTACATAAATTTACTAATGTGACTTTAAATACACATATGAGGAAGTACATATGTAGAATTATTGTAAATTTATAACCTAATAATGTTTATGTGACCAAAAACACTGGTTTAAGCTTACAGAGCGCTCTTTGGATTTGACTTTGAGACAATTTTTAAGTCGGATTTCTCCTATGTGTTGACTACAACAGCTATCGAGTTGTCTATACATATGTGCTGTCTAGACAAATATAGAACTATTGCAAATTATTGATAACCAAATGCGCCAAACGCTGATTAATTCAGAGACAATTATAGCGTGAACTGTCAAAATCATATTATGACAGTTCGCGCTCAAAGTTGTATCTGTTTTGCCAGTGTGATGTAGGTTTAGGCTTGTGTATAATTATTAATTATTTAGTTTTAAATGTGTACTTATTATATGTACGTAGTTGAGAACTCCAATTAATATGACACTAGTAATGATATATAAAATGAAACTTTATCTAAAATCTCATATAAAGAAACAAACCTATTCTTATATCTGAATAATATCTTCTTTTATACAATGACTGCAATATTAAGAACATACCTATACATTTCGATAGTTTTATTCAGGGTTAAGACATTTTATACCTACTATGGACATTTTGATGTATAGATTTAAGACTAATTTGAGCACAATTGTAAATTAGTTTTATTAGTGTATGAAGGATAATAGAATTTTGAAAATAGATTAGTTTTCTGACAAAAATTACGTTTTAAGTGCGGAATAACATTGTTTTTGGAACATTTATATATTTGTAAAGTATATTTGCAAAACGAGTCTTCTTTTATATGGTAATAGACCCTACAATTGTAGAGAAACGTACTAATTAAATATACCTTTGATGTGTAGATAAAAATCCGATTAAATTAAGAATATGCCTGAGTTAATTCTTATAAGTGTTCACTAACAATGAAATACTGGCAAAAAGTTACTGATCGTGGAAACGTAAATAAGACAATCAATTAAAAATTAATAAATTGTGCAAACAATATTAGCTATTCGACTCATAATATCTACAGAAAATATTAATAAAAATATGTATGCAATATGTCCTTGACGATAAATTGTCGAAAGATAGAAAACTGTATAACATGAAGACAGTGAATTAAAATCATTCGATTTTGATGGTCCAATACACATTGCCCGATATTCGGTGATCCCTATAAATGGTTGCGAAACTTCACTTTATATCGACGATAAAATTAATGATTTTTCGCTCACGTAAGAAACGTTTTCATTGTTTGTGAACAGCTCTTAGACCTCGTTAGATATGTTCTTGAAATAAATGTTAGGATTACGTTTACGAAGACTCAAACATTGGTGTATTAAAATGAATGTTAAATGTGATATCCTGCCTCTAACTTCCCATGTGATCTGACTTGCGAATTCTTCTATCTAATAAATAATTTTGTGAATACTGTTTATTTCTTTTGACGATTTTATATAACAAGGACTTTGTTTCTTGGACCAATATTTTACACAACGATAGAAATTACCCCATACTCAAATGGAAGTTAAGGGACTTGTACGTTAAATCTTTATTAAATTATGATGCCCCTGCGGCACGAACGAACTTCCTTGGGTATTATTAAATCCTGGTATAGTCTGTGATATTTTTTTTATGGCTCTGGCACGGTTTGTGCATTAGCCAGCGTCAAGTATAAGATTTTTATAATCCGTGCTTGCCTTAGAAATCCGACCATGTCCTCCATGTACGGTTAGCACTAGCCCGGTACCGCACAACCCTCCCAAAGGCCGAGAACAAATTTAAATTAAATTAAAACCTGCCCTCGAACCGGGAATCGAACCCGGTAGCCCTCACCTAGCTGCCACTTAATAAGACCACTAGGCTATGAGGCCCCCCTCTGTGATATTAGGAATAGAGACAATACAAAATAATAAGTTCGTTTCCTAGCAACGGATTAATTAGAGTCAAATTTTAAACTGAAACATTGATAGCATAAATTCCATATGTTAAATTAATTAATAGACGCTATTCTTTCCATTTTTCTATTCCAATTTTAATTATATATTACAGTTCCCTCTGAGGCTTGATTGATTAGTAAAATGCATGTTATTTATAAATTAAATTTGTTGATATATATCTAATACCTACCAATAGAGGGCGCTTATACAATAATGAACAACACCACCATTTGACTATAGGTTATTGAATAAATAAAATAAAACTAAAAGTATAAAATGTATTGTAACTATCATTTATTGTACAATAACACGAGGGCATAATTATTTGACCGCCACCTGTCGGTTAATCTGAAAACAATTGTAACTTAATAACACTCTACAACACAAATTACAACCAATTGAATCGTTTTAGTTTAACGCCATCTATACAAATCAGTACCACATTAAATTAAATACTGAAAAATTAATTACAAACTAATATAATCTTTAGACATTTAATAATGAATACTTCTACCAGTTCTACCTTCGCCTTGGCCACGAACAATACATATCAAATATCGATCGTAATAGGAAGGTAACAATATATTTTTGTATATAAAACTTATATATTTGAAACTTAACGGAAGCACGACAATTCAACTATAGGTCTAACCTTTATGCTAAAGCTTCAGTAGATCTAATATAAGTTTGACATCGTGTTAAATGCTTCAAATATTTGTATTAAAAACTCTATAGCACCTCTGGTGGTTATGCGTAGAATTAAAATTTCTCGTACTCGAAAGGAGTTCAGTTTTTTCTTTTACCAAAAATTACATACATATGACTGATCATGAAATATGTTGAAAGTTTGTTAAGCACATTGTAGCTCCCAGCGTCAACCTAGAGCAAGCGTTATCGCGCAGACACGCTTGAGAAAGAAAATACACGATTAACAGTTATTTTTTTAATTATCAATAAGTTTATTAGATTGATTTACGCCCGAACCCAATATCGTATCTCAATCCACCATCTGAGATAGTAATCTTAATCCAAATATTGTGAAAAGTGTGCCAATAACCAATCGACGGATTGTAATAGCCATATGTCGATACAAGCTATCCATGGGAGGTCGTATTGGTGTCTGTGGATAGACCTTTGTATGAAAACGACAGTTGACGAAAGCTCGATTTCAACAGTTAATTAATTTTTGTTAACAGATTTTAACTTACACCTGATTTTTTAATAATTAGAAATAACTGTTTGTTATGTTTTAAACATACACATGTATATTTTAATGTTATCTGTACGGTTTTATTTACTTTATTTGGTTTACATTGATTATAAAAAATGAGTGAAAACTCGGTTAAATGGAACGACAAAGAGCATTTTATCCGTCGCCAAAAATGGATTGTTTTCGAAGAGTTTGGTTATTGGGATGCAGATAGGAGATCGATCGACTGTCACGGTCTGATCTCAGAATGTTTTTAATCTAAGATTGTGGATTGATTATTGAGTTCGGGCGTTAATCTGTGTAATCGTAATCATACGACTAGGCTGGGTATGACAGATAACTTAGAATTACGTAACTGTCCATAGGCCTAACGGCAGGCTCTTCTTATTGCTACGATGTACTGTAAACTATTTCTTCTTAGAGAGCGTTCGTTGTTTTTCAGCGTGTTGAACTAAATGTTTGTCTGTTGCCAGTCCCTTCCTCGTCCTCACTGCATCCATGTAGGCTTTGGCTTTATTAACGCCATCCCATTTTTCTCCCCATTGGAGGTACTCCTCTTCAGTGCGTGGACGCCAGAACGGATCGATATCTATCACCTGAAATGTATTATTTATTTAATTAGTTTTAACTTATTTTGTATGTTTATTGCAAAGTATGTATTACGCTACGTTAAACGGGCGTGTTGCCATACATTCGTTAATTCACTGCTTGCGTGGAATTATTTCCTATACCAACGATTGAGACAACAGTTTTATAATAGATTAAAAATATTACTAAGATAACTGGCGAGTGTTATATGATCATGGGTTCTTAAAATACCTATTGTTTCGGGGTTGGTAGGCACCGAAGTTATTAAAAACAACGTGCTTGCGTAAAAAGTACACATGTCAGAAGAGAAACTTCTTTGGCAAACTAATTTTTAAGTCTTTTTCATATTTATACAAATCTGATCTAATTTATACAATCTAAAACTAACTAAGTTAAAGTTAAAAGTTTTAAACTCCCTCTCTCAATCTTTCTCATATGCTTACTACTCTCGCTCCATGGCTATTTGCTTCATGCTACGTTCGCCCTTTCTCACTCTCTCTCAATCGGTCTCAATTCAATTCGTGACGCTAATATTATTATTATTGCGTTTCACCCATAAATAATTTACCCTCATGCGCCTAAAGAAGTTTCACTTCGAACATTTATAAACAGCCTTCCAAAAATGTATAGAAATAGGTTATGAGCAATCTGTAGCATATTACTGATTTCTTTGTGAGCGAGTGAATTGCACTCATATAAAGAAAATCCATTGGTGCACAGCCTCAGCCAGTGATTCGAACGCAACTGCTCTCTGCTCTTTTAAGAAGTTAAGAGACGTCAAAGAAAAACCAACAAGAGCAAAAAGTGAATTGAAAACGTGAACCCACCTCCCAATGACTAAACATCAGTTGTGGCGCAGCTAGTCCAGAGGTATGTGTTCTTAACTCGAGTGCAAACTTAAAACTTTCAGCAACAGGCATCAAAGCCTCTACTCGGAAGGACGAAGATCCACTCTGCAAGTCGCTAGCTACCACTCGACCATTGCGGCGACCCAGCGCTGCGTACAATTTGCCTGAAATCAGAAATTTTTCATTAATAATGCAAAAATATACGAATAAATAAGTGAGTAATATTATTTATAGTAGCACCAATTTTAATAAATATTTGTACAGTCGAACTAAAAGTTCATGTATCTACTTATAGGAACATACAATATTACATATATTCCAACACTGTGCAAACTCTGCTGCGACCACTTATTGTTCTGAAACCTGGCCTCTTAGCAAGAAAGACGATATTTCTCTCCTTATTTTCGAGCGGAAGATTCTTTGAAGAATCTTTGGTACTGTTTGCGACGATGGTGTTTCGTATTCGGTATAATGAAGAAGTTTATAACATTCTAGGTGACGCTAAAATCGTCCAAATCTTAAAGTGCAACAGGCTCAAGTGGTTGGGACATGTGTACTAAAGGGGGGGAAAAAAAACCCCCGGGCTTTTTTTAAACCCAAAAGAAAACTTGTTGAAGGCTGCTTGGTGAATGGATTGTAAGGCACTCGAAACTATGGGTTCAAAAGACAGTACGCTGGATAGATTGCGATGGCGATGTGTACTTGACAAGGCTACGGCAAGGGGCTGTATAGTGATGATGATATATTCCAACATATCAAAATTTGGAAACTAGTTCTGCGCAAAACATTTAATGATTGTGGGCAACTAATAATTTTTTAATGATGTCAATGATTTTTAATAATTTAAAGTACGACTCTTCATAAATTGTATTAGGTTTTTAATTGTTTAAGTTTGTAATCATGGTTGTAAGGTGCGTGTAATACGAATATTTTAAGAATAAACCCGTGAGGCAGACATATTTTTCAATTTAATATACATATTTTTCTAGGTAGAAGGCGCTAATATGCATTCCAAATTCAAAAATGATTCGATGAAGTAAACCGCAATATGCGCGTTTTGTATGTATAATTAAAACCTATAACCCAAAAGTTATAAAAGAATATAAACGAAAAGTATTAAATCTGCACTGACTTACTTTTAATTTAATTAACAATTATTCTGATATAAAAAGTAATATGACAGATAAAAAAGGTAAAAATAAAAACTTGTTTTCAACACACAGTTCTCGTACATAAAAGCTTCATCTGTTAAGCGATACAGTTAGTAGAATATATTTTGTATCTAACGTAAAAACAAAACAATTGACAAAAAATATCGATCTACAAAATCTGCACAGAACACCTAAAAGTTCGATATAAAATGTCACACAAAAACAGCATCTGCATACGTAACGAAATACTTCGTGAGCAGTCGAGTAGAAAAATTCCAAGTTTAAGCAGATTGGTTATGGTCATTTTGAGAAAGGGTGCTTTCCGGAGTGGACCGTGCATCCGGTCACATTGCAGACTCCAAGACAAGTTTTTTGATAAATCTCGAGTTTTTATGTTTCCTCAGGTCAACGGGTCAGTACTCTGTATGCGTTTTTGATGGTTGATAAATTCCTTTAAAAATATATCCAACTTCAAAGCACAGCAAATGAATATTGTCTATGGTTAACGCGATTACTACTCAAATAAATTTATTTGACCAATATAGACTTTACCCATAATATATGTATACATATACATTTTTCTTACTAGGGTTGCCTGGAAGGCATCGCTTAGCGATATAAGGTCGCCCGTTGCATCCCTAATAATTTGTGTTATTTTTTTTTAATTTTAACAGAAATTATCAACGAGAAACAAAAAATCACGACTCGCAAATGTACTTTCAATAGTCTGTTTCTATTTGAATTGGTCCAGTAAAATGAGACTAAAATTTTATTATTAATTATAACTTTCAACTTACATAAAAACTTGAATCAATTTATTATTTCTAAATAGTAAGGTTTTTAACGGAACATTTGGTATTGTATTTCACACACTCCGTTTTAAAAACGGAAGTGTATATAATACAGCTGTAACAGTAAGCATTTCCTCAACTGCACTGATTAAGAAATGTAAATTGCAAAATCATTTGGCATTTTATTAATTAAACATTTGAATACTTGGAACTTGAAAGTGTTTCGTGCGTGTTTTTTATACTTTGACTCTCTTCTAATTTCATTATAGCATTTATTTGAAAATACCAAAATGGCGGTAGGTTAGTATTGTTATAAAGGCGTTATTATTTCGTATTTCAAAAGTCAAAAATCATTTAATCATATAGGTAACACAATGTACACTTATGAACGTCAAAAAATAAATGTATATGAAATACTTCTAACTTTACATTTAGTGCCAGTTCTCAAATCAAGGGCGTAGAACGGAAGAGAAGAACTGGCAATAAACTCTCCGCCACTCTTTTTAATCGCCAAGTTTTTGGTTTTACACAACGTTTGTAAGGAGCTGCAACGATTACACCATTTTCCACATGACATCTTAAGTAATTAATAAAAAAAATAATTGAAAGCAAAAAAAATAATTTAAATTTCATAATCTCACCCAAAGAGATTATGAAATGAGGTGAGGTGACACCAAGAAGTAGTTATACGTCAATATGAATAAATCAGTTCTGTTTTTGCTTGTTTAATTCCAAGTACGAAGAGCTGCTTAGGTTTTAATATAAAATAAATAACAATTAAATGTACTATCCTTTTGAGAACTGTTTGATTTAATATATTAGGTCCTTACATATGAAATTGGCGTTTTGTATGGGGGGAACAAAAAGTCGAATATTTTTAAATATAATATATTTAATTAATCAAAGTATGAACCATTGTTTTCTATGCACTTTTGCCATCTCATAGGTAGTTCATTGATCCCTTTACTAAAAAAACCAGTCGGACGGGAATCAATAAAATCTGTGAAGGCGATTTGGACTGCCCCATCAGAGTTAAATTTTTTCCCTTGCAAGAAGTTGTCCAAATTTCGAAAAAAATGGTAATCTGTTGGAGCAAGGTCCGGGGAGTACGGAGGATGTCTTAGACATTCCAATTGAAGCTCTTCTAATTTGGTAGCCGTCTGTTGTGCAGTGTGTGGTCTAGCGTTGTCGTGGAGTAGCAGTGGCGTGGACCTAGGTTGTTTAGCCGCTAGCTTTTCCATCATGGTTTGCAATTGCTGACAATAGACATCAGCCGTAATAGTCTGGTCAGATTTGAGAAAACTGCAATGAACAATACCGGCACTAGTCCACCAAACGCTTACAAGTAACTTTTTTGGGGTTAATTTTCGCTTGGGGCAGGATTTGGCTGGCTGGCCAGGATCCAACCATTGCGCTGAGCGATTCCGATTATCGTAAAGAATCCATTTTTCATCACAGGTAATGATTCGGTTTAAAATACCTTCATTATTGTGCCGGTTCAGTAATGTAACGCAGCAGTCTACGCGCGTTTGCCGGTTTGATTAAGTCAATTCGAAAGGTACCCATCTTTCAAGCTTTTTAATCTTCCCAATTTGCTTCAAGTGAATTAAAACAGTTTTATCACTAACACCGCAGCCTGCAGCTAACTCGGACGTGGTTTGCGATGGATCCGCTTCCTCAATAGCCTTCAATACTTCATTATCAACTTGGGTCTAGGGCCGTCCACGGGGCTTGTTCTGCAGGTCGAAATTTCCAGAACGAAAACGTTGGGACCAAAAACGAACTGTGTTTTCTTTTGCAACATGACCGCCATACACATCATTCACCCTTCGAGTCGTTTCCGCAGCACTAGTGCCACGGCGGAACTCGTACTCGTAAATAATGCGATACTTTAAGTTTTCCATTTTGTAAAATGAGTGACGCAAACAGAAAAAAACAAATGAATGACGGTCATCGAAGCACAAATACATGAGTAAATAGCTGTACAAATTTGAATTTGGAATTTCTTACCAAAGAGGAGAACATCGTGATTAAAGTGGCCAGTACGAAATACGCCAAATTCATATGTAAGGACCTAATATTAAAGAATTTTATTCTTATATTTATAAAAACTTTGGTCGGTTTTCCTATTTAATTAAAAAAAAGTCAAAACAAGCGTTAACCTTATAGCACTAGCTTAATATTTTCCATTCAATAATATCTTCGAATGATAAAATATTTTTCCAATCAATGAATGCGTAAATATGCGATGTCGTAACAGTAAAGTTCCCCGCAAAACTAGTTTATCAATGGTTGACATTTATATAATATCCAGTTACTGCCTATTTAATACTGTCACGAACTTGCAAATGGAATATTCACGAGGTTTTTGTATGTATTTGCGGCCACTCTTTCCATGTATTGGAAATCTAATACAGAAAACTGTACGCATCAATTAGCTGTTGAATGTTTTGTCCTTATCACTCTTATGCTGTTTTAAAAGTAATTAAAGAGACAAAAAGCCTTTTTAATATGCCAGTTGATTTAGGCTTACCTAAGCCCCATATATCACTTTCTATGTAATAACAAAGATTAGTCTTAAAAGCCTAAAGAGGTAGGGTCTATGTCAGAAAACAATCCCAATCCAAGTCCACTAAAAAACAAATAAGGATATTTGTTTTTGCCCAATTATTAAATACGGTCAGTGAATAAAGGCTTTATATACATATTATAAATAGTATTAATAGACAAATATATATGTATTTATATTAGGTAAAGTGAAGACCGGTTTTTAATATAAAATTGTAGTATTTTTAGAGCGTACATGGATTTTATAAGAATAGACCCATAAGGAATGTACTAGAATCGACAAGGCAGGCGTAGGGATACAGTTTATGAAGAAAAATACTGGATTATGAGCACATGAAGTTATTCCATAAGAAATGCGGATATTGAATTATCATGACATGATGCGCGCGAACCGTTGCTCCGCCCTATATCCCTATCCGTTACGGAGATATTCTTCCGAGGAATATGAAAACGTACGTACAACAAAATAATAGTATCGATACTGGTGCTCATAATTTCATTTATTTGTAAGTACCTACACAAAGCCTTTATATCAGGCTTTGCAGTAAGGCTTACGATTTCTAATGAGGACCCGAATTCGGCTGGTTACCTGTCTTCAGTAGGTAGATAGTTGAATGGATACGCCATAGAAGTAAAAAGAGCCAGGAAGAGCAATGATTTTTTAGGATGGAAAAATTTAAATTGAAATTTGAAAGCACAACGAGGATATAATATACATCATATGTATATTTTTCAAGCAATAGCGCGCAGTATTGGCCCAGCGGTTAAGCGTGCGACTCCCAACTGTGAGGTCGTATCGAGGTTCGAATCCCGGCTGTGCACCGATGGGCCTTCAGTCTATGTGTGCATTTAATACTTGCTCGTGCAGTGAATGAAAATATCTATATCTAGACAAAAACAAATGATACCGAAACAGATACACAAATCTAGGGCCAGACCTAAAAGGTACACCACTGGTGAGCGGCCTAAATCATTATTAAAATACTTGTAAAATTAATTTATTAAAATAGTCTAGTCTGTCTGGTAGAATACATTTCTTCCTTAGATCTCTATGCCTACTTTTGTACGTTTGTCTTTTATATGCAATTAGCTATAAAAAGCAACATCTTTTTACTTTAAGTATGAGTACCTACTCTCGAAAATCGACTACTTGCTGCTGTCTTCTTATTGACATATCACCAAGAATCTTAAGTAAGTCTAATTAATGCTCCATTTAGTTTATTAAAAATATTATGTAATATGTATACATAACTTATTAGGTTTGATTACGCGACGTTAGGCACAAACATCCGTTCAGTTATTATTTATAATTGCAGTGTTCCGGGGATATTGCAACTTATGTTATATTACATAAGTAATTTAAACGACTCGCACTTGTAAATCTTCCACAAGCAATATAATATAGTATAATAGCTTTTTAATTCACATGCTTTTATATTTAAACACGTTTCTATTTCAATCTTCTTTTAGGTATCTGTGTGCCGTTTTTTGGCATATACGAGTATCTCCTCCAAACCCGCCCGCCATTCCACTCTGCAGTGTGCCACAGTCTGCCATATACCGCCGGCTGTTTCTTTTTTAATTTGGTCTATCCACCTAATTTGTCTTCCTCTTTTTTGTTTGCTGTACCTTTGAGTGCCCAAGGTTTTGTACTTTTTCGCTCCACTTTTCCGTTCCTCTTGCCATGCCTACAAACAATTGAAATCGTAGCAAATCATGAATGAATGCATCGTATTATGAGTACATTTGTGTATGGATACCAAACTGAACTCTTGGACAAATAGTGAATAATGCAATACAGAAAGGAGCCTATATGATTTACAAACGAAACAAAACTTTCTAACTTTTGTTCTAACTAAATTTAATTAAATAAAATTTGTAACACTTAAAACAGCACAGAAATAAAAAAATATTTTTATAAGAAATATGGTGTATTTTAAATGCT